AATCTAATGGTTATATTATAAAAGTAAGTGTTATTAGATTTGTTAGTTGTTTTTAAAAATATTTACCAAAACTTGTGTTTGTTGTTGTTGTTATTCCATGATGGCCTTGTTGCATCATCAAAAATTGCTGCTGCTGCTGGTGTTGTTGATGCATTGTGTACATTTGGATTGCAAACATTGATCTTTGTTGCTCACAGCTCTCACACTCTTCTCGTTTTTCCTTTAATTCCTTTTCTCGTAATGCTCTGTCCATCGCTGCTCTTTCCCGTAAACATTCCAATGTATCTACTAACTTTCTCCTTTCTTTCTTTCTTTCTGGAGTCCCATCATTTTCCTCACCATTTCTCTTTTTTGTCTCTCCATATCGTTCCAATGCCCAGTTGCCTCATCCCCACTGCTTGATTTTTTCTCCTTAACATTTGCTTTCTTTATTTTGTTCTCTTGCTCAACTCTTCTTTCGGTTTCCTCATTTCAATCAATTCCTCCAATAACCTCTCCGCTTCTGTCAACTCTTCCCCACTAATTCCTGTTGCTCTTTCCTCTTGTACCATTTTGTTTTTGTGCTTTCTTGTGAGGACCCCATAATGGTCCATGACAGCCCGATTATATGCATAAATAAAATCAGTAAATATGCATAATAAAAACTTATGACTAATAACTATATGACTTATATGAATTCATGTCCTCTATCTAAATCTGTCTAATCATTTGGAGCTAAGTATAACTCATTTAGGAGCTACAATCATGGCAAAAATTATGTGGATAATTAATTCAAAACTTGTATGCGCATGTTTGCATGTTGTCCTTCCTCACCCCCTTGCAAAGTTGATTTTCATAATCTATTTTGCAAAGCTTTACCAAAGTTTTAGCATTTCAACATTGAAATGAACTAAATGTAAATGAATGTAACATGGAAATGTTACAAGAATTGTCATTATTGTAACATGTATCATGCAAATCTAGATAAAAAAACAAGAAGAAGCAATAAGCGTAAGGCAAAACCAGAATTCAAAATCAGAAGAAAGCTATTTCAAGATAAATGTTCAAAGCAAGCAAAGAAGCAATCGAAAGAGAATGCAACATACAAGTCAAATATTGATTAAACCTGGACTCTAGCAAACCATCACAGGGAAAGGAAAATGAGGATCTCACAATGCTAAAGGATGTTGAATTCGTCCAAAGCCCTCACAACCTACTTTTAGTGAAAATAATTATTACAATTTTTTAATTTTTGATACTGAAACAACAACTATTGGCAAGTCATCTGAAATTATTCAAATTGCTGCCATTACAGACGATGTATACGTGTTTTCAGAATACATTCGATCGAAAACTAGAATTACTCAAGCTGCTTCCAATGTCCATGGCATAACAAGTTCACTTCTAAATGGGGAGTCAGTGTTGTTCAAGAATGGTCAACAACTCAGTACCAAAACTCAAGCAGAATGCCTAGAGAACTTTATAACTTTTGTTGAAAAAACTGAAGAAAAGTGTAAACAGAAAACAAACAAACCTTCAGTAGTAACAGTATTGATTGGTCATAATGCCTCAACTTTTGATACTCCTCTAGTTCTATGCTTTACACCTTCCAACGTTTTCTGCAAGACTAAAGTCACTCGGAATTATCTTTGCAGACAGCTTGGTTCTTATAAAACAGCTCTGATCGTGTAACCCTGCACTTCTCAGCAATTTACCAAACAACAAGTTAGGCACATTGTATGCAGGTCTTTTCAAAGAGAGTTTAATGTGCACAATGCACTCGAAGATGTCAAAGCGTTGTCCAAAATATTATTTCATAGCTCCCTTCAAGTTACAGTTAAACAGATTTTGGAACACGGTCGACCAACAACAGTCGAGGATGCCATAAAGGACGTTCAGTTTCTCGATCAAAGGCACACAATCGTACAGAACCTATAAACAAATGGCATACAGCAATGGGAAAAATGTGTTGTCTGAAAATATGAAGCTAAAACTAGCAGAAAATGGTATACCATTTGAAACACTCCAAAATATCTACACAAGATTTGGAAAGAATGGACTATTTGCTGTTGTTGCTTTGCCAGCTAATTCATGTCATTCATCTGCGAAGTCAAGGGATAAATCTCGACCGAGAATACAGGCCTTGAATTTAGCGGTGGCCACTGGCCATTGATGCCCTTGCTTGTTGGCCGTTATGCCCTCAACCATAGACGGATTTTGTGAGGGGGTGCAGGGGGGTGCTACCACCCCAATATGAGCTATAACCCCCCCCCCCAAACAAAATGTCCACCCCTCCAAAAAATGTTCAACCCCCCCAATATTCGGCATAATAAATAAGTAATTAAATAGTCTACTCCAACGTGCAGAGTGTTGATGATACAAAATAAACATAGGAGTACACTCGAACAGAAAAAGACAGTGCAACACTCTGAAACTAATCACTCCTCACTTGCATTCACTGGTTTATTGGAGCAATTGTAAAGTTTTTAAACTCTATTATCTTCCCTGAATAGAGTTTGCAGTGCCTTGGCATGCGAATAGCTTGCACGCAAGGAACGTTTGGAATTTTTACGAACACTATTTTTAGTTTTTAGTTCTTTTAGGAAATAGACTTGCCTAGATTTAATCTTTACGCCCCAGATGTTATTTACA